CACTTTGTAACAGACCAAATCTGACGCTGTGGCAGCTTTTGTTGCAAAACCGCAAGTACTTGAGCTTCTGCTAATTCAGGCAGTGGGGTTCTGCTGCAAAACTTAGCCAAGGCAGGCAGAATGGGCCTGTGTCGCCGAGTGAAAAACTGGGCACCCAGGAGGGTGCTGTGTTAGCTAGTGGGCTACCCACTTGAGTCGGGGGCAAAATAGCCCGACGTTGGACGCCAAAATGTAGCGGCGTAAACGAATGCAGACAGAGTGTAAAAATATATATATAACTTTAATGTAGAAATAGACTTACAGAACCACCGTTCCCGCGGAGACCAGGAAAGCAGAAGCGAGAAGCTCGGAGCTTGCTCGCCAAATTTATAGGCAGACATTAGCCCGAGGCGAACACGCCCCTTAAGGGGCGGGACTTATCCCTACAGTTACAATATTTATATCTACTTTATCTTTTATCATAATTAAGGAAAACAATAACTATCTATCTATTCTTCAACTCCATCAAATACTCCAGAAGGATATAATACTACCTAAGTAAACAAGAAATAAGCAACTTCCAAAACTCTAGAAATGACAGAGACAGCTTGCTTCCTGGACAGTCACCCAAAGTTCTTTTGTACCATTGGAGCATCCATCTTCGGCCTACAGGCCCATAGTATCTGGCAGACATTTACATGAAGCAGGAAATTTCAAAGGCAGTTCAGTAACTATCTGCTGTGTCCTGCAGAATGTCGCAGTCTCTTTTATGAATTAGGAACCCCGAAAGATCATCTCACCTTTAGGCAAGTTCAGCAGTCCTCTCTCTGTGGGTTCTCTGTGTCCAGTTTATGCAACAGTCCAGGCAAAAGAAGTTTCATGCCCAAATAGCTAACCAACTCCATAAGGAGCCTCTTCGATGCCCATCTTCCTCTTGAAGTAGCTTGGGTGCTGCCAGGAGCAGACATGTCTCATTGTCATAAAAGCCCTAAGCTATTAAAACATTTAAAATGCCATATTCTGTAGTCATTGAAAGATATGAAGAATGCCTATCTGAAATATATTAACCAATACTCAGAAGGCAGATATAAGCAGAACTCTATGAGTTCAAGGCCATCCTGGTCGACAGGAGCTAGTTCAAGGACAGCCAGGGCTGTTACACAGAGAAACCTTGTCTTAAGAAACAACAACAAAAAACACATAAAAAATAAAGGAAATACAGGCAGTAATGAAGAGGGGTGGTGGAAGCAACATCAAGGGGTTGAGGACACAGTGGGTCTTTTATACTGTTGACAAGTATGGAAATTAGTGAGAGCATCTTCAAGAGCAATGTCACAACCACAAGTAGTTCTTATTACATTTATTCACTAACATGTCTGTGCACACATAATAGTACATGTAATGATCAGAAGACAATTTGTGCAGTCACTTACCTCAGGTTGTCAGGGTTGGTGACAAATTCTTTTACCCACTCAGCTGTCTTGATGAACCTCACAAGGAAAATTTTAAAAGTGTAAATCCTATAGCAGAGCAAACCTCTGAGTGTGTAAGTCTGTTCTCTACACATATAAACGGGGAAATAGCTCGAATTATATTCCTTTTATGGTCTTTGTAATAAAAGAGTGGAAATGTTTCCTTGAACAAAGGTTTAAAAAATCTCTTCTTCATGGAAAACCTAGGTAAAGTTTCTAAATTTCTTCTAGACCCAGGTGAAGGTCAAGATCAGTTGCATCACAGTGAACACTGCTGTAGCAGCAGGAATCCAGTTCATAAGATGGACCGGGACTGTGAAAGAATCATGGGTACTTAAAATTACACTTCAGTGACTGTTGTAGCTGTGACAGTAAGTATCGGTTTCTGTTTGCAGCAAACTCCTTGTATGTCCAGGGGGACCTTTGGTCTTGGTCCTCCTTGGCTGATAACTAGACTTCAGAGGCGGGGTAGCAAAGGTGGATAAAGGAAGACTGAGCCTTGGAGAGGGCAGAACTACGATTGTAAACATGACTGGTGGTGACCAATTGACCTTTGTGCTCCCGTCTTCTGATGGAGACTTCAATTACTTCTGCTGGCACTGCCCTGCCCAAATGCCAATCCAAGAGATGTATTGCATATTCCTAAACTGAAATGATTCACAGCAGTTTTAAACACAGAAATAGATTGCTATACATTTCCCACATCTCCAAATTGTTTTAGTAAAATCAGCAAACCTCACAATCATGAATACAATATTTTATCACAGACATACATTTTAAAGACACAGAGTTACACTATATTAACATCCACACATATATTATAAATGAAAATTTTGGAAAAGGAATGAAAGGGAATAAGAGTGAGGAGAAAATCAAAAACAATGATAACTTAATTAGCAAATGTTTTAAATTTGAATGGAAATTTTATATTTGAGTTTAACTATATTAATTTGGATAAATATACCTAAAGGATTCTAAAATTTGACATAAAGCAAATATAACAGTATAAAGTTTTGGGGTTTCCACTTTCTCATTTGTGTATTTATGGAACATTGGTCACACTTACAGAAGAAGAAATCATACTGCATTGCTCACATATGATCATGTGCCTTAGGTGTATGAACATAATATCTATGAGGTCACAGTTGTTCTTGCTCCAACCATTACCAGTGAGCTCCAGAAAGGAAACGCTTTGGTGAAACAGCCTGCTTCTCAAGATAGTCTGTCTCAAATGAGCAGACAACACGAGGAAAGAGAGACTGCAGACTTGGATGCAGCCCCTTGCAGGTGTCCATGATTCCTCATCACAATCCCCTCTATAAACTTCAAATATTCCCTCCTTCCTTGCAGACCTCCATGTCCTATGTGAGACTGTGTGTCCTTCACTGAATTTGTTTTATTTGTTGAGGTCAGGTTCTGGTTCTTCCCTGCATTCTGTGTCTTTACTTTCTGCTCACAATAACAAAGCAGCCATGGGCTGGAGCAAAGACAGCATTACAGGTCCCTTTCCAGTTGCTGTGTTAAAGGAGACAGCCGGGGCATGATCACTCAGAAGGAAGAGGATTCACTTGACCTGACAATTCCAGGTTACAGTACTTCATAGTGTGGAAGTCACAGCAGCAGAAGCTTGAGAGAACTTGCCGCATCGCACCCATAATCGGGAACAAAGAGCCCAGAATGCTTTCGTACCATGCTCTACTCGCTCTCTCCATTCTACTCAGTGTGCAGGGCCAAACTCTGGAAATGGTTATGCCCATGTTCAGGCTGTGTCTTCACATGCCAACCTAATCCAGGTGAGTCCTTATTGAAAGTCTCTTCGTGGTGAGTCTACCCTGAGTCACGTTGACTAAACTAACCACACAGATGGAGAGTGTTTCTGAGGCTCTTGGGGCACTGAGTGTAACCTATCACACTTCCTTAACACTAACCTTCAGTCTGAAGAGGAAAGAAGTCAAGACTTCTCCCTCTAGTGCACACTACAGAGGCACCAACTGCAGTCAATGTTTATGTGGAACTGAGTTGTATCTTCAAATCTCTTGGAAATAGTCAGTAGAAAATGCAGTCTACAAAACAAACATAAACCCCTCGCAGTCCAGACTTCATTGCTCATCTTCCCCTCCTTCTGCTCTTCAACTGGATCTTGGGGGCTCAGTCCATTGTTCTGATGAGGGACTTTGTCTCTCTCTCCATCCGTCGCCGGAGGAAGACTCTATGGTGATATTTGAGATAATCATCAGTGTGATAGTGGGGCAAGGCCAGTTCAGGCACCCTCTACTCTGCTGCCCAAGGACCTAGCTGGGGACATCCCCGTGGACACCTGAGATCCTCTCTAGAGCCAAGTCTCTTGCCAACCCTAAAATGTCTCCCTTAATGTAGATACCTTCTTGCCTGCTCCTATATCTGTCCTTCCTGCATCTCCACCCTCCCACTCTCCCAAGCACTCTCTAGGGTTGGTCCACCCACTGAGGCAGTGTGCCTGTTCTAATGGGAGCTCACCAAATCCAGCTGGATCAGGACTGAATGAGCATGCGATCAAACCGGACTCTCTGAATATGGCTGTAAATGGGGGCTGACTGAGAAGTCATTGATAAAGGCACTGGGACTTGTTTCTACTTCATGTACTGGCCTTTTGGGACCCTAGACTATTTGTCTATTTTGATGCAAAGCTTCCTAGGACTGGATGTGAGGAGGTGGACTTCCCACAGGGAAGGGTTTCCTGCCCTCTCTTAAATAGGGAGGAGAGTGAGTGGGGAGTGGGAGGGGAATGGGAGGAGGGAAGGAAGTCTAAATTTTTTGAATGGAAAAATAATTTTTTTTCTTTTTTTATTATTGAGAAAAGGAAGAAAAAAAAACAAGTTTCCACCTCCTCCCAGCCTCCCATTTCCCTCCCCCTCCTCCCACCCTTCTCCCCCTCCTCCCATCCTTCTCCCCCTCCTCCCACTTCTCTCCCCCTCCCTCTCCAGTCCAAAGAGCAGTCAGGGTTCCCTGCCCTGTGGTAAGTCCTAGGTCCTCCCCCCTCTGTCCATATCTAGGAAGGTGAACATCCAAACTGGCTAGGCTCCCACAAAGCCAGCACATTAAGTAGGATCAAAACCCCATGCCATTGTCCTTGGCTTCTCATCAGTCCTCATTGTTCGCCATGTTCAGAGAGTCCAGTTTTAACCCATGCTTTTTCAGTCACAGTCCAGCTGGCCTTGGTGAGCTCCCAGTAGATCAGCTCCACTGTCTCAGTGGGTGGGTGTACCCCTCGTGGTCCCGACTTCTTTGCTCATGTTCTCCCTCCTTCTGCTCCTCATAAAAAAAGGAAATAAAAGAACCATAAAGGAAGGAAACATGGTTCAGCAATCATTCTATGCTTTTTTTATGCTGATATGTCACCTTACATGGGATTCGTGACCAAATGTCTATACACTGCAGATAGGACACCAATGACAGACCAAAATAATGCTTCCAGAGAAATCCAACATTAAGAACCAATAAGTTTATTTAGGTTAGTTACAGGAGCATGGATGATCTAAAGTCAGTCAGCTACAGCTCTCCCCCAGCATCTTACAGGTTTGCATTCAGCTCCCCCTGCAGCCTCAGACACTGTGCACTCAGAGCACAGAAGTACACAGCCGAGTCGCTCCAGTGCACAGAGGCTTTCTTCAGATGGAAGGAAGAGATACTCTTCTGAAAGTTTGCCTCAAAGCCATTAACTCCATGAACCACAGTTTCTCCTGAAAAGTACCTGTGGAGAAGCTGGAGGCCTTGACCAGGGCGCTGCATGTACCAGAAGAGGAGAGGAGCTCCACCAAAAGAATAGTTGCATCTGAGTTCCACCGAGTCTCCTTCAAAGACAGTGACATGGGCATCTGGCTGTGTAACTGACTGTGCTTGGATGTCTCCTGAAAAAGAATCAAAGATAAGTCAGTAAATGTGATGCAGATTTCATGGAGAAATTATTCTTACTAAAATTCAAGTGAAAAAAAAAGCAGTGAATCGTGTGCATATTAAAATAATCAGGATATTTTACTCACCCAGGAGAAAAGGTACGCCTAGGAATGAGATGAGGACTTTAAGCATTGATGAGCACTGGAGACACTTATAGTGCCTTTTTGGAAAAGCTTGGCACATGCTGGAAAGTGGCTACCCTTCCCAGTTCTTGAAGATAGACAAACAACAAAAAGTTGACTAGACACCTTCCTTTTTTAGATAAATTCTAGAAAACAAACAAACAACCTGCAGAAGTGGTCCTGATTCTGGGAACCTTCTGGCCTCTGACTATCTTCACTTCTTCACTCATAAGATGTTCTAAGGATTCTGTCAGATACAGGGTAGCAACTAAGTTGAAAGTGGGGGATCAACTGCAGAAATGAAGGAGGCAGCGAGTCTGTGAAACGTCGCCCTCTGGTGGCCAGTGTTGGATAAACGCTGTGAAGCAAATCCATGTGTTTTTTCTATCTAGAGCACACCTTGCATTTCTAAGCGAATCTGTGCTGTGTTTAGTCCTAACCTAATGAAAAATAGGCCATAAATAATGAAAGGGTAATTTTCTTTTGAAAAAATTATCATATGATAAAACTACTAAATTTGGAGGCTGTTAAAACTTGAGTGTAAAAGTGTAATAAGCTGCAAACAGTCCTGCTGCCTGAAACATAGTCAAAACCCAAAAACTGGATTTTTAAAGTGTGTTTTGTTGAATCTGGGAAGGCAATGAATACTCTGCCTTCCTGGGAATTTTTTCATTAGCATTTTTGTAGAGAGTCAGAACAAAGGGAATTAATTTTTTGAAGTTCAGTAGTACCCTTTTGGCCAGATGGTTTTTGGATCTGAGATATCCTTCAATGTGTTTTCCTGTAGATTCCTACTTAGGGAAGAAGAGTCCATACCTGATTTCAAAATTTAGATGCAGTACTCACTCACTGTGCGCCTACCATACATCTTTGCTGTCAGTGAGCATCCAAACAAGGGGTGTTTTGGTAGGATATCAAGGCAGTGACTTTGATGAAATGAAAAAACAAAAAAGACACATAAACTACTAGTTTCAAATGCTAATCTTTCCCTTAAAATATGAAACAAACTTCTCTATTTCAAGCAGAATTGTGAAGGTTCAGTGACTTTAGATAACCACCAATGACAATGCAGTATGGAGAAAAGACATCATTTGTTCTGGAAAAATCTGGGATGACACACTGTAACAGAAACAGCAGACTGGAAAATCTGCAGATGGATCTAGGCTGACTAATGGACGTACTGATAACACACACGCCATGAAAGGCTTAAATTTAAGAAAACAGTAAATAAAATTTACATGAAGCATGGACTTCTTAGGGGGAGTGTCAATGAAGTACAGCCCAGAGAAAGAGAAACCCTGGGAACAGCTTGACCTGGACACATTAGTATCCAGCAGTTTTGAGTGGGTGGATGCTGGGTAGGCTAATGAAGGTAGTGTTGACTGTGGCCAATAGCATTTCCATTCCTCTAAAAGAGAAGCTTTTCTTCCCACTTCAGCATTAAGACATCTAAAACTAAAAGGAGATTAAATGCTATGTCAAAACAAGTAATACTGTGAGATAAAGAATGCATTTTACAATGAGTAAAGGGTCCCTGGGTCAGAAGAGATGCTATTTTCTGTCTGTGCAGTTAACAAGAAAATAAAAAAAAATGAATGAAGCAAAAGCAGAGAAAATAAATAAGATAAACCTACAATCAGAATTAAAGATGCGATGCTCACTTCCAAGTACAAAATATTACAAGGTAAAAGCTGGGAGTAGATTAGACCAAATTGCCATCTGTACTGCCAGGACACTCACCAATGCAGTGTGCTTTGTACCAGAGTTCAAGCAGTGTTCCCTTAGGCAGACCATCGATTCAGACAGTGCAAAATACACCAGTGAACCTGAAGGATTGAAGTTACAAGCCATGCGTTTGTTGGCCACAAAGTGATGTAGAAATATGTCACATGCAGGAGAAGAAGCAAAATATCACCAAGTATTTGGAAATTAAGTAACACATTCAAGGAAACCACAGATAAGGGGAGAGTAAAAGGAGAAGTTCGAAAGTATTTCAATCTTAAGCTTGGTAAAGCACAGTCTAAGGATATGTTTTGGGTGTAACTAAAACAATTTACGGAAGGATATGTGCAAGATTTCCGGAGAGAAGAAAGACTTCAAACTATCAGTGGACATCTACGACGAGACTCATGCTCCCTTATCCTTGCCCATTTTCCAATTCATTTTTATTTAAATATTTAATGTAATAGTCATTGATGCATATAATGTGTTTGAGCCAATTCACTACCATTTCTTCTCTTCCAATGCCTCCTTCCCACTTTTTCCCTTCCAGCTTCATGTACGTGTGTGTGTGTGTGTGTGTGTGTGTGTGTGTGTGTGTGTGTGTTTTAAATCAATATCCAATGAGTCCACCTAGTGCTCCATCTGTGTGTATAGTGTGGTATCATCCCACTGGCTAACTTCTTAGGACCCACATCCACATCTTAGGACCCTTTCTCTCTTTTTCTCAATTGAATTAAGTATTTGAAAATGAGTAGCTTGAAAGAGAAAAATCTAATAGTACTGCAAATTTATTAGTTTTTATGCTAGGTATTAGCATTGCATATTGTTTCTTTCCTTTCATTTCATAGTCTGTATTTGTCAGTTAAACGTCTTTTTTTAAATAATCATGTGTATTGAATGGTCAAGTTCTAGGCTCACTTCACGTGCTTCTCTTTCAGTTTGAATGTCTGCTTTTTATATTTAGTGTAATTATTTAGGATCTAGCTTGATATTTGCTTTGCTTTTGAGGAATTATTTATGTTTTGCTTTTCCACTTAGTCTTTATTCCGATATTCCTTTGTTTCTGATCTTTATGAAGTTTTATGGTATTCTAATTCAAACAATTATAGTATTAACATTTTTGTTGTTATACAAAAACCCCAATGCCATATATAGATACAACTCTCTGTAAGTTGTTGGTCAGAAAGGCCCCAGAGGCCACTAAAAATTGAAATTTATCCCAATTCTATAGTTTTGACTCCATGTCACATGGCACTCCTGAGAGGAGGTGATACAATCTTGAAGAACTCCAATGAGATTTCATATACAAATAATCAAGAATAATAACTCATTGGGCACTGAACCAGATCCACTTCTTGTGTAAAATATCGGACTGGGAAACACATCTGAAATTGAAATAAATCTGATTTATAAAACAAAGATCATAATATTTTAATTTACACAGCATAGTTTGTGGGTGTCCAAAACTATGTCACAGTATGTACCCATTCTCTGGATATTAACAGGATATCTATTGAAGTTGTTCACTTAAGGTCTTCAAATACATCTTTGCCTCCATTTCTCTGTCTCTATTCTTCTGCCAAAGCCAAAATTTTGGACTTGCCAAGCTGCTGATTCACTCTCATGTTGTTCATATAATATTTCTCCCTGCTGAGGTTCTTCATAATAGAAAATCAAGTATATAGTAAATATTCTTATAATGACATATATATTGTTATTGAAACAGCTAGCCTTACGAGACCATTGTGCGCTATACCATTTTCTTTGCTCCCTTTCCTACCTTTCCCTTCCCATTCACCCTTCTTCCATGGTTGCCATGTTCTCAATTTACTCAGGAGATCTTGTTTGTTTTTTTTTCTACTTCCCATGTAGATTAGATCCATATATGCCTCTCTTATTATCCTCATTGTTGTCTAGGTTCTCTGGGATTACAATTTGTAGGCTGGTTTTCTTTGCTTTGTATTTAAAAACCACTTATGATGACATGTGATAACTGTCTTTCAACTTACAGTGGAAAGATTATGGGGTAAAAGGAACACTCTGGCATTACTGGTGGGAGTGCAAGCTGGTGCAGCACCTTTGGATAGCAGCATGGCAATTTCTCAGAAGAATTAGGAAACAACCTTCCTCAAGACCCAGCAATACCACTTTTGGGTATATATCTAAAGGATGCTCAGTTGTGCCACAAGGACATGTGCTCAACCATGATCATAGCAGCTTTGTTTGTCATGGCCAGAACCTGGAAACAACCTAAATGCCCCTCGACTGAAGAATGGATAAGGAAAATGTGGTACATTAACACAATGGAGTACTACACAGCAGGAAAAAAATAAGGACATCTTCAAATATGCAGGCAAATAGATGGAGCTAAAAAAACATCATATTGGGTGAGGTAACCCAGACCCAGAGACTAGTTTCTTTTTTATTGTTCTCTGCATTCATTTTTTATTGATTTTTACTGAGAATTGTTTCATATAGGCAGAAGGAACATAAATTTTGTTTCTCAATCTATTTGGTCAATCTGTCTTTTGATTGACTAATTGAGGGCATTGATATTTCATGTTATTAAAATGTGTGTGTATGTTATGGTCATTGTGTTGCTGGTTGATTTTGGTGTTGCTGTTTGTGTTATCAATGATACTTGTTTTTTTAATAATCATGGCTTCATATTTCTTTCTACATTCTCTTATTCATTCATTTCTTCAGCACAAAACAATTCTTTCCTATATTTTCTTTGTGTTTTTGTTGTTGGATATAAATTCTGGGGATGAATTTTTATCACGGAAAGTGTTACTTTCTATTTAACTCAGGTGGATAATATTATTAGGAATATTAGTTTAGATTATTCATGTGGTCTTTTAGGACTTAGAAGGCATTGTTCCATGCTCTCCTGGCTTTCAATGTTTCCTTTGAAAATTCATCTGGTATTCTGATGGGTTTTCCTTTGTTTGTGACTTAAAACATTTTCTCTTATAGCTTCAATATATTCTGTTGTACATTATACTTAGTGTTCTAACTATGATATGCCATGGGATGATTTTTTCTTGTCTATTTGGTGCTCTATTTGTTTCTTGAATTTGTATGGGCATTCCTTTCCTTAGTTAATGGAAGTGTTCTTGTCTGATCTTGTCGATGACTTGGGTTATGCCATTGATTTAGAATTATTTTTCCTAACCTATGTCTATTTTTCTATTAATTTTTTTCAATGTGTCTTATATTTCCTTGCATGTTCCTTGAGATTTTTATATTTTTAAATCTAGCATTCCTTGAGGATTTAGTGTAGATCTT